TATATCTAAATAAGGAGGGGGGGAACCCTAGAGAAGTAGGTAGATTAATATGTTTATCTAAGATGGGAAATGGATGGACAATTTTTAAGATATGCAAATATTGGTAAAAATATGACTACAGTGTGGCCAGTTATGTTAAAAGAAGTGAAAATGGCTATATACAAGAATGTGTTTTTCCCAATTTGTTATATAGAAATGAGATTTCGGTAGTGAGGAGAAACATAAAAGGAAGTTGGATGCAGTGGCAAGAGGGTGCTTAAAAAGGCATGTGGTAAAAGAGGAAGAAAAGGTCAACAATAAATTGGTGCTGAATGAATGTGGACTGAATACAAAAGTGAGTAAGCAGTTTTTAAAAAGTACATTGTCTGGTTGTATAGAGATAATGAATCATAAAGCAGATGTAAGAAGGAAGAATAACTGAGCCAAGAGGAAGGGGAAGACTGTGAACGTTATAGTTGTAGCTGGAAGGAGCTGATGATAATAACAGAAGTGTGAAAAGAAAGAAGAAAGGCAATGCATGTGGTGTGGGTCAACATGGTAGAAGCAAGGATGGTTTGAAAGTATAGAAAGGTATGGGAAAGCACTGTGAATGGTGTTGGTATAAACTAGTTTTAGCTATGCTTCATTTTCTTATCTCATGCCTTTAACTTCTTTGACTTACTATTTTTTAAACTCCTTTTTCTGAATTTGGTATAATATGACTTACCTCAGAAACAAATAGCATGAGTATGTATGTATGCAAAATGTATTCTCTCAGGAAGAATATTGTCCAATTTGTTTAAATTAGCCCCTAGATAGACTGATGCATGTTGGCTCAATCTGTCCATCACTTGACAAATTTCCTGTTCTCACCTCATCTAATCCTAATCCTGAATCAATGCAAACAAATTCTTAAATTCAATCCCCACTGAATTCAATGGAACAACAAACACCCAGTTAAGCCTTGAGATGTGAATACCCATAGTCCAGATAATCATCCTCCTGGAAGAGAAGGATAAATTACTGGCTGAAAATCCAATTCTTTCTAGCTAGCCTGACCCCTTTAGTTTTAATGGATAATTTTCCTTCTCCCTGGAAGCAGGCTGTGGAACAGAAGTTGGCATTATATGGGATTTCTACACCATTCCTAATTTCTTTAGAGTATGACCAAGACAAACAACTGCTCACTCCAGAAATAAAGAATATGGAGTTCCAGGCCGAATTTAATAGGTTGCCCCAACATGGTAGAAATTGGATAAACAAGGGCACTTGGGAACCAGCAAAATACTTACAAAATGTAACTTTCCCAAGTCTGAGGACAGCATTTTTCAAAGCCAGGTATAATATCTTAACATCCACATTGCTGCAAGGCAGATACTCCAAAATTCCATTAACTGAGCACACCGGCCTATGTGGTGACAAGATCTAATCCATTCCTCACATATTATTACACTGTAAATTCTAGAAAAATATTAGGTCTTCTTACATTCTGCCCCTAATATGTAAATTCCCAATTACTATATGAATTATATTCTAGAAGATTCAAAACCCTTCATTACTTGTTTAGTAGCTGAATTCTATTTTGCTACAATGAAGATAAGACATAACTGGTCACAGGAATAACCACTTTTGTTTTATTAATCACTTCAAGTTTATGTGTTGGCTATCTTGTCTTAGGTGACATGTATTTTTACTTGATAGATTGTAATATTTTAGACTCATATTTGCACTCAATTAACATATCATTACAGTAGCTTATGTTAGATTTTTATTATGGAGATTCCTTGTTTTGTTGGTCTTTTATCTCACCCATTTGACTTTAGTATTATATACTTTTAAATTTTGGTGGTCATTGACCAAATAAACATTACTGATTAAGATTTTAATCCTGAAATTCTATTTTTTAAAATTTTTTATGTTTTCTTCAGAGGTCTGAAGTTTCTGAGGCTCCATCTTCTGCTTTACAATCCTGTATTTTTATCTATGAGGCTGTGATCATTAATTCACAACAAAAGCCTATAGGAATGGAAGTAGCCATGGTAACTGAAGCTATTTGTACTCTTATATGAAATACTAACTTAAACTTTCCTTTTTCCCTATCACTGCAATATTTTCTATTCTGCCTCTTATATGATATGATCCTAATAATGAAACCTAATAGGCCTCCAGATATTATTCTAACACGACCCTATCACCCTCTTTGTTCTTATTTGACAAACCTCCCACTATCAATGCACAATTGTTGGTACACAGTTATGGGCAGTGGTCTAATTAGTTCTTCCATTCTATTAAAAAATGGTAAGATAAAATCTGTACCCTTCAAGTTTATACTTTATTTGCATAGTATACAATGTCTTGGCCCAAGATCCTTTTATTTCCAAGTCAGTCAGGCTTATATATACACGTACAGTATATATTTACAAAGACGTGTGATCAAGGATATATGACCATGCAAAAAAGCAATCCCCAAAACTATAGGGACCAAAAAAAAAAAAAAACCCAAAAGAAAAGGCAGACCAAACACCCTCCAGCCATATCAGAATACAAAGGTCCTCTGGCAGCACTGAAAATCTAACAGAACGTGAGTGAAGTGGATCTCCAGGGCAAAAGGTATCATACCCCCAATGCATTTTTCTAGAATATGTTGGATTTTCTAGATACTCTGACAAGTATCCTTCCCTTCCACATTGAAGCAAAGCCTATATATTATAGTGTTTCATAAAAATAAGATATACTGTCCTGTTTCAGTTGTAAAGTATAACACAACATTTCAGAACACTCTGTTCATCTCTAGCCACCCTGCTAATCCTGCAATAGAGGGGAGGTAATAAAAAAATAATATAGTGAGGCATTTAATTTCAAGCAGAAGTTGAAATAATAGATTTAAACTATCATGATAGATGACAAATATTTAAAAGGTAGTCTGTAGGGAAAATATAAAACAAAAAGATAAGGAGCAAAGTTTCAGACCTGAAGATCTTGAATAATAAATGACAAGAGGAATGCACTGAACAATTGAATAATTAAATCACATTCTATTGTTTTATTTTCTGTTTTTCTACTGTATGGCCAAATAGTTTATCCATTTGAAGTATAAATGTTTATATATCATTGTTTCAGATTAACTTATTTCTCAAATTCCTTGTGCCTCATTTCTTATTTACTGCAACCTGGTATATTAGGTTATTCTTATTTCACTTTCAATGCCATTTTTAAAGGTAATGGGCCAGACAACAGAGAATATTGGCACCTAATGCTGCATGACAAAGCTTTCCAATTGGTTTGAGAAGTTTAAAGTTAGGCCCAACTGTAGGGATGCCTGAGGATATATCGTTTACTCTCCACAGTGACTACAGGTATCATGGCAAAGAAAGTTTTAACTAGGGAAAAATAGTCAGGAAATTATTAAAGATACTGTACACACACACACACCAAGAACCCTGCAGCTGCAGAAGTAACATTGACTTTACTTCAAATCTGGAAATAATAGTTAAGAAATAGTGCATTTTCATTTTTTAGTCCCAATAAGTTTCTTTTTTAACTTTTGCACAGAAACCTTTTAAGTGTGTGTGTGTTTGTTAATGATAGTGGATGTAGTGGAGTATGCACAATAATTTTGTATATCTTTTTCTCTCCATTTTTTAAAGATGAAAAAATAAACAATTTAAAGTAGAACGAGGCAAACTCCCATAAATATGGTGACACCATATTTTTCATGTTTCCATTGTTAAGCAATCTGTATGACTAACAAACCCAAGATTTCTGGGTTTTAGAACTTTAAGAAAAAGAGAGAAACTAAAAACAAACCAAAAAACAGAATTGTTTTGGGAACACACTATTTTCTCAAAAAAAGTATATACTCCAAATTATGTCTCACATAACGGGCGGGGGGACCCTAAACTTATTAGAACAAATAACTGCTTTGGAGGAAGAGATAATTTTTTTTGTGTGTGTGAGAAAAAGTGAAAAGCATAGTGAAAAGAGTTAATGCCAATATCCTGCAATCTTGATTACATGTCTGAACTATCTGCAACTGCTATTTAAAAAAAAACTAAAGAACACATTGCATATATCTAGCCTTGCCTTAAAATTAGAGAGACCTAGATTCAAAACAGCAGAATTGAGGGATAATCTTAACACATTTACTCAAAGAGCAACTTCTGGCTAACAGCCAGTTTAGGATAACAGTTGCAGTTGTTAATAATTATGGTGATGATCTAGTGTATGTGTGTGTGTGTATGTGTGTGCACACGTGAGTGCAGGCATGTGTCTGCATTCTCATTGTGCCACATGATACTTTATTATTTGTTAGGATAAAAAGCTGAGGAGGAAAAGGAGGAGACATTCCATTTAGACTCAAAGCTTTCTAGGAAAGCTAATCCATTTATTAATTTCCAGTTACCTCATCTACACTATGTTGAACTGTTTGGAGGAAGAGAGAATAAAACATTGTTTTGGAAATGAAAATGATAAATGCCTCTTTAAAAAATAAAAGTAACAAGTTTGGCACTTTGAAGAAAATTTCTCATAGCTTTTCACCTGATGATAGAAGAAACTATAACATCAATTTTGATACTGATGCTTTCTTGCATTTGATTGTTGAAGCTAGAGACCAATGACTCCCACTAACAGCATTGCCGAAGTACAAATATTTATTTTAGCTAAACAGTATAACATTACCGAAATATTCAGTTGTATAAAGCCCACCCATACATTACAAATCTACAGATATCTACTATATTTAAAAAAGGGTTTACATTTATTTACATCAACTCATTATTCTGTGAACGTTAACTACATTAACGTTCACAAAATAATGTACTGAAATTGGAAAGTGCTTTTAAATATTATCTTTAAGATTCTCTCTTTTCCAGTACTGAAAGGAATTAAGAAGCAGTCTCATAAACACAGTAGGTATTAACAATAATCCTTAGGATTTTGTGTTAAGTATTGTTCATAGCTCAGTTGCTTTTTTGTATCTCTATTTTTCCCCCTTCCCTTCTCAAATTATTGCTACTTACTTGTATATGTGAGGTGAAAACCTTGGTCTGTATCTGATCCATTACTATTAAATTCTATCCATAAATGGTTAGATGTGCTGTTGAGAATGAGTTCTATCAATTCAATTTTTGTAAAAGTTCCCAACAGACGTGATGAACTGTCTTTTCCATCATATACCTATAAAATAAAATTTAACACATTAAAAAAAAAAACGTATTTCAAAGCTACTACAATCTAACAGAGATGTTCATGTACAATTAACTACAAATCATCAAAACTTCCAAATAAAACATAGGAAAGAGAGCAATCCTCTTCACTGCCTCACATATACTGGCTATGCAGCTCATTTACATGATAACACACTACTTCCCATCCAGCTATTTTTTTTTTTAAAAAAAAACAAGTTTGTATTTATGGCTCAGTTCCTTGACATTTATCACTTCCATCTCCTTCTGTCTTCCGAATCCACTCTGGAGTTTTGAAAATGCTTCAAAAGTTTGAAAATACTTATGGCATTTCTGTCAAGATGCTTCTTCTAAACACACTGAAGAGGGGCAAAAACAATGTACACCAGTCTGATCAATCCTCAATGAATTAAAAAGCAGGATTGAAGCAGCAATCCTAGCAAAGAACACCAAGTTTATCTTCAGTTATAATACTGGACTGCGAAACTTGAATTCATTTTTAATATTGTTGATTTCTGACATGCTTTTATAATGGCTAAAGTCACACAGAGTGTATGAAGACTTGAACTTTTGAACAGTTCTTAGGGAAAAAAAAAAAACATTCAAAAACTAAGAACCACATTGACCTGTATGTTTCAGTGATGTGCACATTTCCAAGAGCATTACTTCAAATGGCCAATTTCTCTTTGCCAACTAAACATTTTGAAACACTTCTTCATTTCAGTTGCAAGAACATAAACCTTGCACTGAGCCTCAGTGAAATCTCTGGAGCGTTTATCAGATTTCTGTATTAGGCATTTGTTTTTTTATAGTTTCATATATTTAATGCAACCTATAGGCCTTTTAGCTTGTTAACTTATGATCACTATCAATAGCCCTGATAGTAAACCAAAGAACAGAATAGTTATCTGATGTTCTTTTCATGGTATTTAACAAGTTGTGATTATTGCAACAAAAAAGTTGATATTAGACAATCAATGCAATTTCCAAGTGAAGGTTCTAATTGCAGAGATCTGTATCCTAAGGCCCCAGGGCTGCATAGGGCCCCTTAAATCCAGGAGGCAGCCTGAAGATTTCTGCTAAAGTTTATATTATATTCTAATCTTTTAATATGATAGAAAGGAAAAAAAATATATATATTAAATACATAACTGCAGAATAATGATATTAGTTACATTAATTGGGGATACCCACCAACATTTTTTTGGAATGCAACTTCTAGCATGCCATTGAAAGGCTGAATGTAGCCTTAAAAAGTTGTGCACCCTTCTTTAAAGATAAGGGGAAAATAATTTGATGTTTACTAAAGTACATTTAATATATAACATTTAACAATCAATATACATGCATAATGTATAGAAGTTAAAATTATTGAAATACTATCAATAGTAATCTTATGTAATAATAGAAAATTACTTTACTGAATAATATAACTAAATCTATCTACAGTTCTGTTTTGCTCTATATCTGACAAGAGATACACTGAAGATACATTGATGGGAAGATACTGCAGCTGAGTAGAAGAGATGTTTGTATAGTTTTGACAACTTTATTGTCAGAGCCAAATCTTAAATTCAATTTTGTCTCTTCCTTTGGATGGAAGAGTCTAGGTTCTAAATCCTATTATTGCCAAGTTCCACACACACAACCACAGAGAGAAAGAGGGAGAGAGAATAATACATATATTAATGAACTACTTTTGAAGTCATTCTCATTAAAAAGTAGCACATAAACAGAAACAATGTTAATGTATTTTTATACAGCTGAATATTAAAAAAAACTATCATGTACTATTAAAATAATACTAGGAATGGATGAAATATACCATGATGCTTCTTCTCAGAATTTATCCATATTATGTTCAAGAAGTTTCTTTCCAGCTAAGTATAAGACATTTACCTGAGGTAGGTCCCACTTTTAGATATCTGAGTTTTTAGATATCTAGATATAGGCCTACTTTTAGATATCTGTGGATTGTTTTATTGTGCAGTCTGTTTCATTTTCATATTTATATTCATACATCATTTCTGTGCCATTTCCTCATTATTCTGAACAAAAATTGTTTAAAATTTGCATTTAATAATCTTTTAAAAATGGTTCTTCTTAAAAAACAAACACTTTTTTTTTTCTTAAAAGGTGCATTTTAAAACTTTGATGTTTTTAAAAAAAGAAAAGTGCACTGAAACATTCAGGCCATGTGAAAGTCAACGTGTATTTTATTTATGCTTCTAACTTCATAAACAGAATGAACACAACCATGGTGTAACATAAATATTATTGGGGTGTTTTTATTGCTTTAGACTTATCTTGCATGTGTTGTTATGTAAATAATAAAACAATAAAAACAATAAAAATAAATCTAAAACAATAAAAACACCCCAAAATTTAACAGTCCACAAAAAGAAGAAATACCAACCCCATAACATTAAAATATGATTAAATTATAATCAACCCAACTTCACACACAATAGTTTAAAAGAAAATCAGACAATTAGACATCAGCCAATACCAGCAAGAAGACATCAACCACCAAAGGCTATCTAGAACAATTTAACTGTTAATATGTTCTGGAATGCCGCTACACTGTAGCAAGCCTGATATTTAAAGAGAGTTTGTTCCACAGTTTTGGATCCATTATAGAAAACACTGGTTTCTGGTTTTGCCCCCCTTCTCTACATCCTCTCATATCACAATTATGTGGGATCCTCAAGAGCTTTTCCTGCAGTGAATGTACTGGACAGGTCAGTTCTAAACAGAGAATGTGGACCTGGAGGTACCTTGGTGCCAAGCCATAAAGGGCATTACACCCACTTCTCATTTAGTGACCAAGTTCCATTCCAACAACCATGTCATTAAGCAAAATGGTCGCTAAGTGTGTGTGTGTGTGTGAGAGAGAGAGAGAGAGAGAGAGAGAGAGAGATGCTGCAAAGATCGCTGGTTGCTGCTGTCTCATTCAGATAAAGTTCTCTCATGCAGCTACACCAGCATTACTTTCACTTAATGCACAAAATTTGACTGTAAATGCATGTATTATTTGGAAAATGATTTTTTTATTACCATTTATTGCCATCATATTTGCAAATGGCCACTAACCAAGGTAGTTGCTAAACAAGGAGTGGGGGAATAGATCAAAACAGATACTTCAATTTGCACTTAGCAACTACTGGTGGCCAGCACAGTGTGGTATGCTTCTGTTGGCTAACACCTCCTGCATCCAGGTTGCCATATTTTGTACCAGTTACAGCTTCCAGGTGGCTATCAAAGGCAGCCCCATTTAGAGCTCAGTGCAGTAGTCTAGCTGTGTGATGACAAGAGTAGGAATTACAGTCATGTCCTCACATGTAAGGGCTGCAACTGCCACACCAGTTTAAAGCACCCCTGGACATAGCCCTCTCCCCAGCCATGAGTGCACATACAGGTTCCAGTCTGGAGTTAGTCCAGGAGGTGGAAATTTATTTATTAAATCTATTACTCTGCTCTCACCCCCACCCCATGAGTCTAGGCATCTTAAAAAATATTAGAATAATAGAGTAACAATTTAAAACATCATACAAGTGGCCATTTGGGCATGGGGAAACACTCAAAAATTAATAATGACCACTCAAATTCAGAAGTGGGCTGATATGACATCCTGGCCTGGTATCTGGGGAAATAGCTAGGTTTTCAAGGCTTTTTAAACAATGGCAGGGGTGTGATTATACAGATCTCCGGGGGAATGATATTGAAGATGGTAGGTGCCATGAAACAGAAGGTATACCAGTCCTTATCAAAAATAAAAACATTACTTAAATATCCTTGAGTGTCAAATACTACCAATATTTAAAGCCTGGTTGGGAACTTGAATTCACATGGATCAAGAGAAGAAGAAATAATTGAAAATTCTATGAAGTCTCTTATTTTAATCCAATAATTCTTTACAAATGACTCTTTTCTTAGCACTGAGAAAATTAGCATGATTTTGTGTAATTTTTTTCCAGTTTTATAAAATAACTCTGAAGTTAAGTTCATTCTCATAAAAATAACTATAATCTCCAAAGAGAATTAAGTAGAAAAAAAATCTAGATTGTTCAATATCTATGATTCTAACGCAAGGAAGATAAAAGGGTCCTGTAGCAAATATAAAATACCATATTTTTAATATAAGTTGAATATTTTTAAGTGATATTGTAAAAGATTTAAATCAGGTTTTTAAACGTTTTGTAAATTAAGTTGTTAAAAGATGAACCCAGCTCAAAGATATCATATCAGTCATATTTCTACAATCCAGACAATTCAAGAAATAAACTTCTGATCCTGAGATGTACCTTTATTGACTATAACCTAATCATTGCAATGGACCATTAAGTTCCTGCTTGGGAATCTTTTAATGGAGTTCCCACATTTGAGCATAAGACAGGCAAAGGCACAAAATACAAGTGGTAGGACAAAGAAATGAATGGCTAATTGTCCACATTAGGCATTATTATAAGAAGCATTCCTACTTTTAAGATACTGAATATGCCAGACAGAAATATTTTGATGCTCTTATGCTTCCCCCCTCCCCCCTTAAGGACTATTTTTCTTCTTAGTCCTAGCTAAGGATTAATTTGGACTTCCCAAATTACCACTGGAATTCTCATATTTGAACAAAGATATAATTATTGTTGTCCTCAAGTAGGGTTATTTAATTCAGTTAAACAAAATAGACAGTGATTCATTTTACCATTTGACTTTTACAAGTCCATGAATTCAGGAACAGTACCCAAGATGTAGGTGCACCTAACTGAATTAACTGCTTGTGTTTAACTGGATTTGGCCCTCTTCAGAATACATGATTCTAATGGCTGTCCACCTATCCCACTTTCAATGTCATCATCAGTGTTTACCATTTCAGATTTTCTGAAAACAGTATTGCAGCTGCATGTAATGATATCACAAAGATCTAGTATACCTCCCATAGATGAAAAACAGCAAGTCAATCATAGAAATATAGAAAACTTTGTAATAAAAACACAATAAGGAAATTATGAAAAAAAGATGTTTGCTTATGCAACAAATTATTTTTGAGTTGAGAATGCACATTTCATGGATATGATTTAATCACTTTGATGAAGATCTAGTCACTTGCAGAGAATTTGTTGAATAAAGCATATAAGGAAGAAACTAAGAAATGTAAAAATAATCTAGGGAACAATTTGTTAACCTGAATAATCCCAATTTATGTATCATTGTACCAACAGAAGAAAGGAAAATCCTCTGTACTAAAATTATTTATTTATTTATTTACTTATTTATTTATAAGATTTATATGGCTGCCCATCTTAAGCAACACTGGGTGGCTCACAACAACAATAAAACCAGTAAATAATCATAAAACAGTAAAAATAGTAAAACAATAAAACAAAAACCCTGTGCCTTACTTCCAGAAATCTACACACTGCTAATATTTATATGGAGGAATAGTAAAAGCTACAACAAACTGTCCAAAGAATTTAAACTGCAAGTATAAAGCTTTGCATGGATAATACTGCAAAGTATCCAAACTAAACAATTTTTTTTAAAAAAGTAAAGAAGCACCAGCATATGACTGCAATCTTATTAAATACATCTTCTAACAAAAGATTAGTATACCAGAAACTAAGAACAATTTAACAGACATTGCAAAATACTTCCATGTAACCACTTTGCAGCAACTGAAATTGAAGAAAACAGCAAATTCACTCTTCCACAGGATGTCTGATGAATCACCAGAAAGGGTTGTTTGGAGCACTATATGAGGAACCTGCCTATTCTAAGTGCAATTTTTGAACAAAATCACAAAGAAACAGAATAGAATTGTCTGCTCACAATTTTCAGTATGGGTTGAGAGAAAGACCAATGACTATCTAAACATACATTTCTAAGGCCCTGAACAAAGTTGTATTTTTAAGTTTGGAAGGAATTAAGCATAACCTTGAAAAGAGAAAGGCAATCATCCTTTCATAATACTAATTATAACAAATCTAAGTGCAAAGCTGAACCATTCAAGAAATATGCTTGCTGATTATATTTTAAAGGAAGTCACTAAAGAGCTAGTGGAAATTACTAAACATTTGGATCCGGAGATCACTGACATAATAATTCAAATTTTAACAGCAGTAGCTTCTTTTGCTGCTACAGAAAGGGATTTATTTTCTTTGGAGCAATTAATTCAAAATTAAGAAACAATTTGACAACTGAAAAAAGCAAGGAACTTTGTTTTTTCTCTTCTAATCTCTGTTCAGTAGAAATACACTGAATTCACCACTCACTCAATACTTTAAGTTTCTTATGCTGATCTGGCTAAAAGAACCATTTTTTAAAAAACTTGTTTATAAATAAAATAATTCAAACATTTATGTCTGTGGAGTTTTCATTGTTGATGATGTTGTTAAAATAATTTGTTGAAGAAAGTTATCCATAACAAGATTTTTTTATGCAATTTAGCAAAGCCTGTGTGGTTATGCACCTTGACCACACCAGTTTAGTCATTTAAAATGTGATGACATGCATCATTTTCAGAACACTGAGTTATCATCAGAAATGGCAATTGTCATCAGTTGTCTTCAAGTATTCATTCCTTTCTAGGTCAGTGTGAGTGGATTGCTGTAGAGGAAAAAATGCCCACACTTGTTTCCTCTCACTTCCTTTCCCCTGACAGGATCTTACCCAAGAGAAAAGAAAGCTGTTCCCTTTACTATGAACAGAGCTACCTCAGCAGAGGACTTTTTGGGGTGCTTGCTGAATTTGTCCTACTCAAGGACTGTGTTTGGATTTCAAATTGTCAGTAGAAGAAAAATTGGAACAAAAGAGAAAAGGGGAAAAAAGATTTGAATAACCGAAGGAGGGAGGGAGACAGTTTCAATACCGCAATGGTCTTATGCTGGTCCATGAAGGTACTAAAGTTTTGATTTGTCCACAATGGTCAAGTCCAACTGAGTCAGAGAGACTAGCTCAATAGCAAAGAAAGAGGTAGTTGATAGTGGAACAAGACAGACAGGGTTCAGATAGAACTGGAGTTCTGTTAGAATGCTATATGAAGATTGTAGGCTACATAAAAACAAAGTAAGAATATTAGAGAGCTATAGAAAATAAAATTTAAAAAAAGGAGTCAAATAGAATGTATAAAGCTATAGGAATAGTAGTAAAATAGAATTCAGAATATAGATGAATCAGTAAAACAGAATAAAGTGTAGAAGATCAAGATAGCCTATAGAAATAGTAGGCACAGGATATAGCCACTAATTATAAATTAGAAAGTGGCTTTCTTCTGTAATGAAAAACAACATATTTTTATAACAAAATAGTTTCCAGCTGGAACTGATATATGTGCATCTTGCTTGGAGTATGATCATCCCTAAAACTGTGACAGCCAGATTCTTAACTTTTAATTTTCCTTTTTAAGTGTTTTAATTCAGGACAATAGAAGCTCTGCCTTACCATTATCTAATATAAGAAGCATAAAATACTTATATGGTGTCTCTAAGGGAACTATTTTTTCATCAAAATGTGATGAAATCTGCAAGAAAGGTAGACCATTAGGAGATAAAGTCCATCAGATTCATAGAAATCAGTGCAAGTATTTTTGAATTATACTTTTCTATAATTTATATAACTGATAAATATATAAGTTATTAAAATGACCTCCTTTACCTGTTTCTTTCTTCGCTTTCCAACATAATGGAAATAGAGCTTAAATGAGGGAACGAAGGCTAGTCTTCAAGATATCAGTGCAAGCATTTTCAAGCTACAGGTAGTTTTTGGGTTACAATGGCAATTGGGACCAAAATTTCTGTCACTAAGTGATATGGTCATAAAATGCGACATCATATGACTGCATCTCTTAGCAATGGCAATCCTGGTAGCCCTGGTTGCTGCTGTAACCCAGAGACCGCACAAGTTAAGAAAGGATCTTATGTGATTAAGTCCTAGGCAAACAGGTGGGTGGGTGAGTGTTGCAGGCGGGCACTACTGGGCTAGTGGGGGTCTGGAGTGGGCGCTAATGAGCATTGGCAGGCCGGCAGGGGCCACTACAGTGCACAGGAGCATAGTGGAGCTCCTCAGGAGAAGAAGCAGTAGGAGTGACTTGTGATCTTCCCTGCTGGCTTCCCCATTGACTTTGCTTGTGGGAAGCTGGCAGGGAAGGTCAGCAATAATGTTACCAAGCCTCCCTGCGACATCATAAAATCATAAGCTGGGTACCAGAGCGCCTGGATCATGATCACATGACTACGGGTACACTGCGACAGCTGCAATTTTGCAGACCGGCTCGTTCAGTGCCACTGTAACTTTGAATGGTCATGGAATGAGTGGTCATAACCCAAGGACTAGCTGTACATGGCATTTTCACCATAGTAATATTTCTGCAATATTCCAGTAATCTTTTGACTGAGCTTCCCCAGTTCTACCATACCTCAGTTTCTCCAGTAACACTGCCTAATATATTAAAACACACATATGTACATTTCTCAATAGCACCAAAATGGGGCAAGGGGAAGATACTGCTTAAAAGGACAAAGGATAAGAAGAGAAATATTATTTATACAGTTATAAAAAATAGAAGTTGACTATAATTAATAATTTGTAGGTGGGACAATTAAGTTAGAGAGGAGACTAAAGAACTGAAGGAGGATCAAATGAGAATGAAAATGAGAAAAATAACCTTGGACAACAATGAGCACAGTGACAACAAACATATATCTCTTTTTCTCACATATGAAAAGCACCCTCACAGAGATGCAGATCTGCAGCCATTCCTGAAAACCTATTCCTCTCCAGGTTTCACTAAATTTAGGCTTCCTGTCTTGACCCTAAATTTATCCTGTCCCAGCCAACAACATGGGTTTTTAATCTACAGCAGAGGAGAAAAATACTGTATGACAGATTAAGGAAAGTCATTAAGCTGCTGTTTCTCAAATGTAGCAAGGAAGTCAGTACAGAATAAGATATTACCCAGCTGTTTTGGGGCTACTAAGTCTCATGAGTCTTGCTGTCACAACAAAATGTAAATACCTTGAAGAAAGCAAATACCTTGAAGAAAGATGGGAATACATTTAACTATTAACATTTGCTTATTCTATATTGGAATTTGAACAATGTATATGTTGCACTCTTCAGTATGACTTTAAGGTGCCTGCCCAGTCTTTGCTGTTTGAGGCAAGCTATAAATATTGCAAATGAATGAATGAAGCAGACATCAAGTGTCAGGAGGAGAAGGACAGAGAAGCTAGGTTGTACAGTCATTTAAATTGCCATTTACGTTAGCTTTTTCAACTTGGCACTCTCCAGATATATTGGGACTCTATATCTGAATAGCATCAAATGCTCAAACTTTGGAGAAAGTTTGTCATATATGCTGTAAGATCCAAATATGGACACACCAAGGGTCATAGCAAGACAAAGTCATATATGAAACAAGTTGAAGTTAATTTGTATTTACAATACCAGATGTCCTAGTACTTCCCTTCTTTAAGCCAAAGAATACTCAACTAACATTCCACTGATCACCAGTTCAAGACTGACCTGAATCTCAGATCTGACATTACATGCAGAAGAAAAGAATGCAAAGAAACTTGTCCTCAAGTACTACAGCTCAGAAAATATACTGAAACAGGACTGAGTGGTTTTTGTTATTGGTATGTGTGTTTTGACATTTACCTTAACAGTATCACCTTCATGCAGCTTAAAGGTTCTGGATCTTAAGTGGATGCCTTTCCCAGGTTCAGTTTCAATTTTATAGATGCATTCATGGTTGTTGTCATAGTTAGATGGAAAATTTGGTGACAGCAATGTTCCTTCATTCCCAGATACACTTGCTCCACATTCAGCTAAATAAAACAGACATATTTATAAATAAAAAAGATTAATTATCTGCTTCAAAAGTTTTTTTAAATTTGTGATTATTTTCAAAACTACAAATATCTTTGCTATACAGTGCGTAAGTATAAAAATATGTTATTTGTTAGTAGTTTGCTTAGAACTGTAATCTTTTTTACTATTTGACACACCTAACATCACTTTCTTATTAACATATTCCTATTTTTTAGACCAAAACTAATTGAATCTTTGTATCTGGATGGATTTCTCCTGCTCGTTCTGTTCTGTTCTGTTCTGTTCTCTTTCTTTCTTTCTTTCTTTCTTTCTTTCTTTCTTTCTTTCTTTCTTTCTTTCTTTCTTTCTTTCTTTCTTTCTTTCTTTC